TCCCATTCCCATTGTCGCTCCCAATCCCATTCCCATTGTCGCTCCCATTCCCAGTCCCATTCCCATTGTCACTCCCAGTCCCATTCCCGTTGTCGCTCCTATTCCCAATCCCATTCCCATTCCCATTGTCTCTCCCATTCCCATTATCAGACCTGTTCCCATTCCCTTTCTCTTTGCCTTTCCCAGTCCCACTCCCATTCCCATTCCCACTCCCTCTCCTTCTCCCAATCCCGTTCCCATGGCCGTTCCCGCCGTGTGTCTGAGCGCGCCTCCTCTGCCTGCAGACTGCAAGCTGAACTGCCACCGCAGCTGCGCCCCCCTGGTGCCCAGCGCCTGCCCGGGAGAGAAGAGCCCCCCCAACGGGCAGGGTGAGGAACCGCAGGCTCTGACCGGGCCCCGCCCGTCGTGGACTCTTGGTGTGTAGCAACCGAGGGGCGTAGAGAGGCCATAAGGCTCACCTGGGGCCTTAGGGAACCAGACTGTCCACCTGCCCTTTCCTGAAGCAGCCCAGAGCCTGGCTGGACGGGCTGTTCCAGACACCTACAACTCTCTGTGTAACTGGACAGAGACTTCATCCCTTTTCGTTCCCCGGTTGTGACCCAGGAAAGTGAAGGAGACACCCAGTTTGCCCCAGCTGGTCCGGTGAATGAAACGGGAACGAGGCGATTCGTGGGTCACAGCTGGGGGCGCTGGGGGGGCTTGAGGATGACCTGCCTGGCTCGGCCGCTGGTCCGGGACTCGGATCCGGTGGGAATGTGCCAGCGGGCAGATAGATGACGAGTGAGTCCCGGCTGGGCCTCCTCTTGTTCGTACCCTGTTCCCCTGTGTGAGAGTTCGCCCCCACGCGGCCGGGCTGGGCAGCAGGGGTCATGGTACTGCCCCCCACCCCACCCCCTGCAGGTAGTGGGGCGTGGCCCTGAGCTCCTGCGCTTGCACCCCAGAATCTCCCCGCAAACCCCACCTTTGAGCGGAGTAGCTGGTCACCCCTGACCTGCTGTGTCTGGGAAGCGGGACACAGTCGGAGTGCCTGGAGAAATCCCATGCACGCACAGGGGACAACGCACAGGCTCCACACAGAAGGGCCCCGGAGCCCGAAGGTGCCCCCATGCCAGCCCGGCACCCTCTCTTCACAGGCGGAGATCTCTGCTGCGCTCGACCGCAGTGCCTGAAACCATCTGTTTTGACGTGCAGAGGCTGACCTGAGCTCAAACGCTGATGCAGAGGAGGCCTCCGGTCTGACCGGTGAGGCCAGCGAGGAGCCCAGCTTCGAGCAAGACCCGTTTGCTGACGAGGAGGGGCCGGGGCCTGGGTCGCCAATCAGGTAACAGCTTTCACAGGAAGGGGCGGGGCCTGGGCAGGAAGGTGGTGTGTGGGTGGGGGGCTTGGGTCACCAATCAGGTAAGAGCTTTCACAGGAAGGGGCGGGGCCCGGGCAGGAAGGTGGTGCGTGGGCGGGGCACAGTGGACGGGGCCTTTATAGGAGACAGGCCTGACAACAGGTTTATTTTAAACATCTCTGGGATATTACTTGTCTTTATGTTGTAAAACTGCCTTAAAGAAAAAAATCAAAATGTGCAGCAGCAGTATGAGTTCGGCTGCCCCTGACAGCGGGTGGCAGGATGTCCGCCTGCTCAGCTGGGGTGGGGTCTGAGGTCCTGCTCCTCTCCTCCACAGCCCCTGCTTCAGCAGCAACATCCCCCTGATGCGCCTGGTGCAGTCGGTGCGCCAGTGCAAGAGGAGAGGCAGCGGCACGCTGCGGGAGGGCTGGCTACTGCACCACACCTGCGCCGACCCGCTGGTGAGCGGTCCCGGCCCGGCCACTGAGCGTGTGTGTTTGTGAGTGAGCCCGTGAGAGCGTGATTCTGAGTGTCTGAGAGTGTGTGACGGTATGTGTGTGTCTGAGTGTGTGTGTGTGTGTGTGTGTGTGTGGTGCTGGGGGAGGGGGGCACTTTGTAGTCCTGATTTAAACCCTCTCCCCCCCTCCTCCGCGCCCCAGAGGAAACGGCACTACTGGCACCTGGACAGCAAGAGCATCACCCTGTTCCAGAACGACACCGGCACCAAGTTCTACAAGGTGAGCGGGCCGCCTGGTACCGAGTGCGCGGTCAGCCCGGCCGGCGGGGTCCGGTCCTCGTGTGCAGTAATTAAAAACCCAGCGCCTGAGCAGCTGCTCCTGCGGACCTGGTGGTCCTGTGTGCCTGCAGTGACCTCGTCTTCGAAGATCAACACTGGCTTCCTCGGTCGCTGACTGACTCCAGGATTTTGTTCAGCTGTTTTCTTGAAGGAACCCCACACAGCTCTGGGCGTTTGTTCCACACATCTGCCACCCTTTGTGTAAAGACATGACTCCCTGTTCTCGGTCCCTGCTTGCTGCCCCCTCGATTCACGAATCATGGCTTGAAAGCACTGAGCTCTCTCTCTCCTGTCTCCTGTCCCTGCCTGAGCTGTCTCTCTCCTGTCTTCTGTCCCTTGTCCCTGTCTGAGCTCTCTCTCTCCTGTCTCCTGTCTCTGTCTGAACTCTCTCTTCTGTTCCTGACTGAGCTTTCTGCTGTCTCCTGTCCCCTGTCCCCTGTCCCTGCCCGAGCTCTCTCTCTCCTGTCTCTGCCTGAGCTCTCTCTCCTGTCCCTGCCCGAGCTCTCTCTCTCTCCTGTCTCTGCCTGAGCTCTCTCTCCTGTCCCTGCCTGAGCTGTCTCTCTCCTGTCCCCTGTCCCCTGTCCCTGCCCGAGCTCTCTCTCTCCTGTCCCTGCCCGAGCTCTCTCTCTCCTGTCCCTGCCCGAGCTCTCTCTCTCCTGTCTCTGCCTGAGCTCTCTCTCTCCTGTCTCCTGTCTCCTGTCCCCCAGGAGCTGCCCCTGTCTGAGATCCTGCAGGTGCGCGGCCCTGGTCACCTCTCTGTGGCCACAGGGGACGCCGGCGGTCACTCCTTCGAGCTGGTCACCAGCTCCCTGACCTACTGCGTCTCCGAGAGCGGAGCGGCCGGGGGCGAGGCCCTGGGGTGGGAACGGGCCGTCCGCCAGGCCCTGATGCCCGTCCACGGCTCTGCCCAACTGGGCCAGGACCGCGAGGGTGAGTGGGGTCACGTCTTCGGGAAGCAGGGGCGGGGGTGGGGGCATGATCTGGTCAGAACATGCAGACTCCACACAGAAGGGCCCCAGGGTCTGACTCAGTCCTCTGAGGATTAACTCTCCGGAGAGTGCGAGAGAAACGGGGGGTCTTCAGCACTTCCTGGGGGGGTGAGTGGGGGGCATATGGGGTGCTGCATCTCCGTCCAGAGCAGAATGTTCCCCTGGTTTGCTGAAACATGAGTGTAGACACAGGGCAGCTGGCCTAGAGAGCCGGACTCCTGTCAGATGGGTCCGGCTGTCAGGGGTGGGGCTGTGGGACCGCCCTGCGCGGGGGTTGTGGGCTGCTGTTGTATCCGCCTGCTCTTCTCCCGCTGCAGGAACGGGCTCCCGGGCCGAGGAGAGACCGGTAAGCGCGAGGTCCCGCCGCCGCCCACCCGCTTGTGGGGGCTTCTGTTCCGCGGGGTCGCGTGGTCTCAGCGGGGAGAGGGTCTGCCGCCTGTCCATCTGAGGGTGAAGGCTGAGGCTGAATGTAGCC